ATCAAAGCATAGTTCATTATTGCCACCTTGCTAAAATATTTTTAGAGGCAGTTTTAATATTACACTTTTATAGCTACATATTGCCATTAAGCTATTGAATCTATTACTAGTCAATCAAGGATTTTCATTTTGTTTCAAGAGCTCCTTGGATAAACTCTTCAGAAATGTCAAAGAGATGGAGTATATGGCACCTTTTCACAGATGGTGTTCATCAGGGATTTTAGTTAATGGATAAAGTTTCAGTTTTCCATGGTTGACTTTTGGTACTAACAAAAGTATTCTAAAGGCTCCTGCTCTTCTAAAACCTAGTGGATAGTAAGGAAATGAATCCTCTAACACCCCCAAACCTTTTATTATTAATGAGGTAAGTTAACCAGGGACATGGAGTATTTCACTGGGTCTATTTTCTAAAGAATGGAATACATCTTGAAGAAAACCAACTTTCCCAGCAGCCCCGAAACTATACATTTAACCTGTACTCCCATTCCCAAGAACATCAACCAAAAACAAATAATACACAATAGGAAGAATTAAACTATCACATGAAGAGTTATATACGCAACTGGCTCATCATAGAAGCTAACTGTGTACTTTTCCCTTTCATCTGTTCCAAAGTAGTCTATACCCATTTTATTCATTCCTTCATACATCCACACATTTATTCACTACATATGCACCAGACTCTGTGCCAGTTGTTAATTACAAGGACTCAGACATAGTGCTTTCCTTAAGAGAATTTCAACCTAGTGTTGGAGAAAGCCAAAAGAGCACATGATTATTTACCATTCATTGGGATAAGTGCTGTGATGGAAGGGGGGGAGCTTGGAGGTGAGTACATGATCCTAGGGAAGGCAGTGGAAGAGTACTTAATCCCTTCTGCGGCAGGCTCAGAGAAGGCATTCCTGGAGGTGATGGTGTTAAAGCTAAGACCAGAGAATTAACAGGTATAACTCAGGTGACGGGAGAGGGAATGAAGAGCATGACTGGAACTGTGAATGATACATCCCAGGGCGGGGCATAGGGAGCCAGAGAGGTGAGGCTGGGAATGAACAGCAAACAGTTACTGCCCAAGAGCTTTGTTAGCTGTGGAGGAGCTGGGACTCTCTTCCTGAGGGCAGTGGGGAGCCTCTGAGGAGCTTGAAGCCAGGGACAAACGGGCCCTGATATCACTCCAGCTATGGACTGTGTTCAGTGGGAGGCAAGAGTGCAGCGGGAGAGCTGTTAGAGGAGTCTTTCGCCCTAGAGAAATAAGGTGGCGCCTGGAAGAAAGAGGAAGTGGAAAATAAAATCTGATTAAATCTGTCTTAGCAGTCATGACATAATGTAGTAAAATGAATATAACACAGTTAGCCAAAGGCAAACGTGTCAGGTCAGCAGTTTGGTAGACACTGAAAAGGAAATAAAAATGCATTGCTAAATGAGTCCACGAGTTCCCAAGTGTAGTGCTGTGGGAAGCTCTCCCTCTCTCTAACAATAGTTTTCCCGAGATTCCAGTTATGACTGCACAGAACTGCTATTTAAGGCTTTGTGGTGGGTACCTTGTGTATCTGTCGACTGCAGGGATATGAACCATTGTACATGGAGTCACACAGTAAGCGTGTCTGGAATTATCTGAACATGTGCTATCCTTGTTACAATTTTCTACAGTTTTTCTTCCATCGATCTTCAAGGGAGATTTATCCATGTCTTATCACCCTTCCAGACCATTCTTGGTATGTTAGGAAGCCAATGTAATTGGGTGGAGATGAGGATAGGTAATGTTGATTTAAAAAAAAAAAATTAAAAGAGTGGCACCTGGGTGGCTCAGTCGTTTAAGCATCCGACTCTTGGTTTTGGCTCAGATCACGGTCTCACAATTTCGTGAGTTTGAGCCCCACTTTGGGCTCTGTGCTGGCAGCAAGAACCCTGCTTGGGATTCTCTCTCTCCCTCTCTCTCTCTGCCCCTCCCTGACTCATGCTGTCTCTGTCTCTCTCAAAAATAAATAAATGAACATAAAAAATAAAAATAAGTTAAAAGAGATCCATTTTCAGTTTCATATTAAGTGAGCAGAATTGGTCAAACTTTTTTTATACAAGGGAAAACTAGCAACCAGCCTGTAAGAAATCGGTCACAGTTTAGGGGATATGTTACAAGCAAGATAAATAAAAATGGTCTAGAGTATCAGGCCAAATTCTCATTATTCATCTCTGGTTCACACTCTTCTCTTCCAGTCCAGACTAATCAAAAGAAGCCTCTTCCGCTCACAATTGCTCTGTGTACATTTCCCCCAGATCTGGTATTCACATGAACAACATGGTTTATTTATATTTCAGCACCAAATTGGAAAGATGACATCATTCATTTACAGTCTTTATCCCATGACATGCCTATTCTCCAACACCTCATTTCAGCAGACACATTTAGGACTGCATATAGCATCTTGTTTAGCTTGTACATTCTTTTATGGGATACAGTTCAAAGGTAGGAAACTTTAGGCTTGTTGCTGGTAAGAAAATAATCTCATAAAATCACAGGAGCTTCCCCAAAGGATAAGGACATTATGATGCTTACAATAGCAGAGTTATTATTTGTTCATTTAGGCTTCATCGCTCATTCTTGGGTGAGCCCCTTCCTTCTTGACCATGGCAGGTCTTACAGCTCCCTTCAGGCTCTCAGAATTCTGTTAGAAGAAACAATTTCAGATTTATTGGTTCATGGGTTCAAAAGTACAGGTTCCTGACAATGCTGGAGTTTCAGGCGTGAACACTGAATTTCAGCATCTCTTGTAGGAGGGCAGGCCGAATGAGGGGACTCTCAGTATTTGGTCAGCAACAGCTCCACTGACCTGCTCTTTCTCACAACCTGTAACTTGCCCATTGGGTCTTCTGACACTTTAAATAGGCAAGAGAAGAATGAAAATGCTATCAGCTGCCAAAGGTTGCCTGGGATTTTTATTTAATTGTTAGGTGGACTTTTCCCTCTATTTTTATTGTTTTTAACCATATACATGCATTTTTTACACCCTCTATGGGACTTTCGAATATCGTATACATTTTTCAAAACGGGGTGAGTAAATCATGAGACATCCATTGGCAGATAGAACTGGGATATGAAGTGTTTCCAAAACTTAACAGAACCACAGCATCTATGGGAAAGCTGTTTCTTTTGATTAGCTGTTTGTCTTTTCTGCTAGTGGCATGGCTAAGAGCAAAGGCTAGATATTGAGAATTGGAAGACCCAGGAAATCTCCATGTTCTATGTAAGAAATGAGACTCTGGGGGCTGAAATTTCTGCCTTGATTTTCTAGTTGCAAGTGAGGATAGTAATAATTCCTCCCAGGAAAGTTTTGAGGATAAGTTAGATTGTACATGAAACAGGCTACAAGAATACACTATGTTAGGTCCAGAATTGTTATCAAAATATTATTTATATTATCTAATAAAATTCCAGCATATTGGAAGCTCTGCCAGCCTCTGATTTCCAGGTCTCCTGAAGTGCTGATGGTTCACTATCATCTCAAGCCACCAGTGGGATTGTTATGGCAACTCATGAGATGTCCTCAACTCTCAGTGACCTTCCCTGGCTCAAAACAAATGTGCAGTCACCTCTAGTATGGTAGCATCCCTCAAAATTCTGGCTCTTTCTTTCAGTCCCTCATTGCAGCAACATGCACAGTATATTCACATCTACTAGGCCCTATGCTAGATTCTGGGGAGAGGCAGGGGAAAGAGAGAGCCTCAAGTCTACTGACAGTTGGACAGGTAGATCTGAAGTTACAGAGCAATGAAAAGCAGGAGTTGCACATGTCCTGGCATTAGGGATAGGGTCAAGAAAGGGCTCCTAGAGAAAAAATTGTGAATTAGCCAGACACAGAAGGTAGAGGTGAGAGAAGGTGACTGGGGGAGATATCACAGGCAGAGGAAACACCATGTATAAGAAGAAGAGGTTTCTTACTGTAAACAATAGCAAGAATAATAGTAATAATGGCAATTATTTTTTACTGTAAGCCTATTATGGACCATGAACTGACACTTGAAACCCATTGTATCTCTAGCTCCTCACAGTGACCCCACGGAGAGAGATACCATTACTCCATCTTATACTTGAGAAAAATGAAGCTTACAAATAGTTAACTCTCAAAAGACCACATAACCAGCAAAGATGTAGAGCAGGGCTTGAATACAGACAGTCTTATCTCCAAATACACACGTGTAGTCTCTACATTTCCTGGCTTTCTGGGCTGGATATCTTTATCTGCCCTTTTCCATAGTCTTTAGGCATTTTTCTAGATTCTATGACCCTGTTAGGTCAATTCATTGCTGGTCTGTTTCTTGCCTTACATAATAAAACAGTACAATTGTGTGTCCTGGGAATTGAAACCATGACATGTAGTGCCTCATGTGACAAACACAGTGGGGCATAAATTACAACAGTCAGCTCTTCTGCATCAACTTTGCTCCTTTTGCTCAATCTCCCCCAAAAGCACTATCAGTTAAATTGTCCATAGAGAGCATTCCCTAGAAGCCATCGTAGCAGCAGACCATCTCCACTGCTATTTTTGCATTTGGCAGCTTTTTAGTGGATTCCTCTGCCTTGTCTTGCAAGACCATCACATGTCTGTAGTTCTGTGTCTGCCCAGCCCTTTCCCATCTTTTCATCCAGGACTTCCTTCTCTCGCTTGCTGAAGGATATAGGATGTGATTGTTGGCAGTTTGTGATTATAATATTACTCTGGACCTGTATGATCGCTTGATCATGTAAAACAAAGCACCTTTAGGTATATGTCCATTTTTCCCCCTTTTAAATCACATAGGGGAACATGCACTTACATCTAATGTAGGTCCAAGCTCTTTTACCAAATGGCATGGTGCATTATTTATTAAGTTTCAATTTGACTAAAAATGAAAATCTCTGGATTAGGAACAAAAGGAGCCCTATAGGTGTGGTAATTTTGCCCTGAGTCTCTTTGGCTAGCCTTCTAGCTCCTGATGGAATCTTCTCTGGTTTTTATTCTGTGCAGACCCAGAACAGAATGAAGCTGATGGCAGACAACTATGATGAGGACCACCACCATTACCACCATCACCACCACCACCACCACCACCGATCTCCTGGGAGGCCACAACATTCCAATCACAGGCCCTCTCCCGACCAGGTCAGTTTCATTGCCGCTTACCTCCAGGACCCCTTTTACCCTTTGGATATTTTAAGATAAAATAAATAATCCTCAAGAAATAATAAACAGCATAAAGTGATACGTCCTTTGAACTGAAACTAATAGCTTTGGTATTTATTTCCATCACTCAAGGAGTCTAAATGTTTTCCTTTCTCCTTCCTCTTTAAGGTTTTGTCTGTTCTTGTTTATGTTATGCATTTTCTTTCTTCCCCTCCTTTCTACTTTCATAGATATGAAGTCTATTGCTGGCTCGGTATCTAATGGTGGGTTACTTTGGAATGTCTCTTTCAGAGTTTTAAGAGAAAGCACTTTGTTTCCATGAGCTTGGCAACCAGAGAAGCCTTGAGTTTGCTGAGCACTTTCCTAGAAAATTCTTTAGTGATACAAATTAATGGTGGGGTAAAACAACATGAAGAGAAATCAGTTTTGCTTGCCTTTTAGCCAGTGAAGTCAAAGGGTCTGGTTTATTTGATTTGGACCCTATCTTCTCCCTTGACTAAGCAAAGCAAGCGAAAAGAAGAATTGACAAAAGCAAAAATCTCCTATGGTCTTCCATGATATTTGCATTCACCCAACAAATATAAAAACTTTTGACAGTGTTTAGGGTTAAAACTCCTAAAGGTGAATTTCATGGAAATTATGAGATTAAACCAGATTATATAACCAATATTAACATTATTTCCTCCTTTATTGTACTCTGAGGTTCCTGTGTGTGTGAACTTAGTGTAACTTACACAATAAATTTCAAGAGTGATGGGGCCACAGGTAATGAAATAGAATCATCTGGATAAGTGTTAATGCCTTTGTTATATGTTTCTGGGTATGTGAGGTGGGAGGGCTTATTAGAATTACTTGTGTGAAGAGAGGTTTAACTGTTTGTTGGAGGAGGAGGAGGAGGTGCTTATTATGCTCCTAAGACTTTTTTTTCAGATGGCTCTGTTTCCTTTTCACCTCTTGTCACTAGTATCCCAAAGGAGAAGTTAAGATTTCCAAATCTCCAAGATGTCTTACCAGGAGTACAACTCCTAGGGGGACCATTTGTATGGTATGCCACATAAGAAATGCTCCCTGGAGCTGTGCAGTGAAGTAGATCCAACCAGGAGGCCCTCTGCCCCCACCCTAGCTTGGCCCTACCCTTTTGCCCGGAAGCATTTGCCTTCAGAGTCCTCAGTACTGTGGGTCTTCATATAGGACATCTAGATTTCTGAAGCCAAGTGCAGAAAGGCACCAGTTCATGTTATTAGCTCTCAAAAATGGTTCTTAAGTTGGCAATCAGCAAAGTATAGAGAGATAAATTTCATGTCATTATCTTGTATGCCTGTGGCTTTGCTTTGATCTAGCTTTATTTTTTCAATTTTCATCCCTTGCCATCACTACCATCTCCTCATAGTCACCCAACCTGACTACCTACTAACTAAACATCTTCTTTCTTGTTCTTGGTCCCTGCCTTTTTCCACACTGCCCTTTGCTCCTTGACCTTCTCCCAAGAGGGGTAAGTGTGAGGTTTCATTGGTGCTAGAGGGCCACCCTGGGCTTTCCCCCAGAGAGAGGAACAAAAAGTACTATAGAGGCAGAAAGAAGGATTTAGAGCCCAATTGGGGGAGTGAGTCACACAAAGACCTGTTGAGATAACAGACAGGCTTATTTCATCACAGAGACACATATGCTAATATGTCCTACTAGAAACTGGACCAAATTTACCTGCTTTGTGAATGATATTTCTCACAAAAGCTATTCTCCTGCTAAATTACCAGAGATGTTTAATCACAAAATAGAGGTCTTGCCAGCTGGTTGACCCTCTTATGTTTGTCCACCAACAAACACTAGAGGTTGTCATAGGGCAGAAGTCATTGCCCTGAGGCAATACCTTTTCCAGAAGAGTTATAACATCCCTCAAGGTGTGTCTGGCTAAGATGTGTCATCACGAGCTCTGACATACCTTTGTCGTTGCTACTGTTAGGAAGATGGTGATGATCTTCCCCCCTCACATCCTTCATTTCAGTGACCACTCTAAGCAACCCAGAGACATAGAGGCAGATAGCCTCTTCTACATATGAGAGACCTAGGCCCTCACTTGGGGGGAGGGAGGGAGACTGACTAGGGCTCTACTTCAACTAATAATTGGAGCACATCTTCCATGCCAGCCTCCACACTGGCCTTGAGAAAGAACATGAGAGACAAGACTGAACCCCTGCCTTCAGGGAGTTTTGCCGTCTACTCTGAAGACAAAAATCCAGGTCATCAGATGTCTCATCAAGTTTTTTCTGGATCACATCAGTCAGAACATGCCATTCATTTAAAAGGTAGTTATGACTTAACTAAAGGCCCATGACTTAGGAATTAACTCTGCAGTGAAGTTCACCTTGAACTTGAAAGTGACATACCCTTGATCAGAAGGATAACTTTGTGGTTTTAAATTGGAGTCAGCAAAGGTATAAGGCTTCTTTGCTACACTCTTTCAATTAGAAAAGAGAGTTGACTATGAAGACCTGGCATGCGTAGGTTGACTCCAGTGACTGAGACAGCAACATCCTCTGGGGTGGTGATCTTTTTGACTAGGAGTCCCAGGTCTACTACAACCATGCTCTCGGCTATAATCACCCAACAGCTCATATACCAAAATATGGGTTGTTATAAAACTAAGTTCCACAATGTAACGGTCATCTGAAGACTGAGAAGTCTTTCCTAGATGATTAAAACTCTATTCAAAATTGTGCAAACATATATACTCGTATGTGTAGAGTGGAGATATTTCTCAGGAGAAAGTGACAATGTAAAAGTCTCAACAATGGATTGATTTGGATGAGAATTAAACTAAATGTCCATTATGTACACATGTTCACTAAACTGACTTCAAGGGGAAAGGTCTCTTCCAAGAGATTCCTCATTCCCTTCCCATGAATATTTCAGCACTGACTTCCCTGTGACCTAAGCATTGACCAACAATTCTGGAAGAGAGGCTACAAAATGTTGCCTTTGTCTCTTGAGTTTTATAAAAAGATCAGAACACATAAAAATAGAGAAATATAAGAAAGCCAGTCACTTTGCTACTTTTCCAGAGAAGTTCATTTTTCCTTAGGAAATTCAATTTAAGTATTGCTGGGTATTTTCAGAATTGGATTCTTTTTCCATTTCTTCCCCATTCCTTTCTCCTTCACTATGATTTTGCTTTCTCCTCAGGAGAAACTGAATCCAAGGGTTATAAGTCTAGACGAGCATTTCCCTAAGTAACCTTTGGAACATTAGTCCCAGGAGGAAAGTCTTGAAACAAAGATTCAGTGAGCAAAGAATTTTGGGAAAATGCTGCATATTATAACTCAATTTTAGAGAGTCTTGGTGCAATTAGCAGATCAAAGGATCTGCAAAGTCATATAAGAAAGAAAGCTCTCCAATTTTATTTAATCCAGCATTTCCCAGACTTATTTGATCATAGAATATTTTTTTTTCTTTTCTTTTCTAGTAACATCTGTGCTCTGAAAAATACTGTTTTCAGAGTATCAGGTGAAGAAAGACTACCCGGTTTAAAACATAACTGATTCAGTTTCCATCAGGGTTTTTCATCAGAAGGTGGAGTTTTGAGGCAATTTCTGCAATGCTCTGCATAGCAGAAAATGAAAGTACCTCTTTCATTCATGTCTTGGGATACCTTTACAAAGACTATAAAGTCTGAGAATGAGTTATCCCACCGATAACTCAGTAGATCTGAACTAAAGGAATCATTATAAGGGTGAGGATCCAGGAAAACAAAGATAATCATAAATACACATACCCTCAGAAATTGAAAATGAGTGTGATGAAGGGAAGAGACAACTGGGATAACACATGGTACCAGTGCAATAGTCTAGACCCCTCCCCAAAAAAGGAGTAGGTGGGAATTGGTGGCCTGTCCCGATGATGGCCATAGCCACTGAAAATGTCCAAGCAGATCATTCAGACACTTCCCAGTAATAATGCCTTGGGAAGTTTTTCAAACCAAGAAGTGGGCACAAGGGGAGACAGCAAATATTTCCCATGACACAAGCTACTGATAAGCTTTGAGAAACAACAAAGAATAAATGGGACAGGCTGGAACCACATTCGTGATTTTATTTTTAGTGACATTACCAAGACTAATTTTAGAAAAGCTAAGTGGAAACTCAACTTCTACATGCCCCCTGTACCTGTCATCAGTATCTGTTATTTTCTCTAAGTACCATCTTTCTTTGCCATATCAATCATGTCAAGTCTTTTTACTATTTTTCCAGGCATCATATTATTTTTATTGTCTCACAAAAAATTGTATTTTATTAATCTTCTAATGGCTTCCAGGTATATAGAAAATCATAGCATCAGAGTGAACTCCACACTCCAGCCACCTCAGAATGCCAGGCCTTGTTCAGGCTGCCTTTTGGCATCCAGAACTCACAATCCTGTGCCTGGGTCTTAGGTTGGGCATTGGGTCTTTAAGAACCTAGATCACACTACTTTTTTTGTGCAAAATATGCATCCATTTGTTAAAGCATCTGCCACTCTGATTCTCATTTGTAGGAGCCTAAATGGTAAAATCCTAAACATTTCTGGTCTGGAAACCTCAAAATATATGGCCACTTTCCAAGCCCAGAACTTGCCTTTCTTCTCTCTCCCTCACACACAGGAGTTGGGAAACTCAAGGACTTTTGACTACTTTGAAGACATTCAGATCCCATTTAAAATTTAAATTTCGCATTTTACTTATAGAAATGCTACTTCAAAAAGGAGGGCTACAGAGTTCAAGAGCATGGAAACATAATACTCCTTAAATTATTATGGAAAAATTTGGTTGAATTGTATGTTCTATTCATACTCTTTGTTATGTATCACAAAGCATATTCACACCTGCCTTGCCCATAGTAGGCACTCAATAAATGTCTGTTGAAGGAATTATTCCCTAAGTACCTTTGGGAAATGGAAAGGACAGATGGAAATATCCCCACCGTACATGTAAAGAATCTGGTGCTCAG